ACAACCACCACCACCACCACAACTGCAACTACCAGTGGCAGATCAACTACTACAGCAACAGAGACAACTGTATCCTCTGCCCCGTCGACAACTGTGTCCAGTGGGACCACCACACAACCACCTGAGAGCACAGTGCGGTCTACTGTGACTACTGCAAGAACGACTACATCCATGGCACATCCAAGCTCAAGTGGACCTTCAACATCTCAGGCAACACAGTCAACCAGAGAAACTGCTTCTGAGCCAAGGACAACACGCACGTCAACTGTGACTACAACGCTCTCTTCACCAACCCAGAAAGAGAAAACAACATCTCGACCATCATCTCCACCAACAGAATCAACTACAGCATCAGTTTCTGGAACAACCACCACCACCACCATCACCAGTACAACTGCAACTGCAACCTCAAGTGGCAGATCAACCACCTCAGTGACATGGACACCTCCCACATCAGCTGGAGACTCAGGGACAACTGGACCTGTGCATATAGATGCAGCGACCACCACGTTCATGTCCAGACAAACGCCTGTTAGGACAGCAGACACGACTACTGCTGTTTTGGTTTCACAAAGTACACGAACAGATGATCAATGGAGTATGACTTCAGTTCAGAGACCTACAGTGACTCTAACCTCTGCTCCGTTGTCCCACGGGTCCAGTGCTCATTCTTCTTCAACTGGATCATCACCTGGAATGTCTACTTCTTCTGGGCAAACGTCTGTATCCAGTCATGGATTTAGTTCATCTTCTCCAGCATCAACATCTCCAGGCTCCACTGAGTATTTTACTTCAACATTAGAACAATCTCCTAGTGTGACTCTAACACTTGGGTCATCACCTGGCAAGCAATGGACATCTATTTTATCCCCTCAAGTACTGGTAAATACTTCACAGGCAGGTCACAGTACCACCAGCAGACAAAATAGGACAAGTGTACCAGGAATTGTGCCTGCGACAATGAAAGGCAAGTGTGATCAGCTGCCTTTAAAGGTTTATGGTGCCATGGTAATGGTTGACCCATGTCCATTAGGGTATATATAAAATTTATAATTAAATAAGTTTTTATTTCCAGAAATTGCTGAATACTCAAGGTTGGCAAAGCTCCTTTAGTTTGACTTTTCAGACTTCATGAGTAGTCTTTCTTTTAGAAAATATCAAACCCTGGTGTAGCATAATGATGAAGACAGGCACATGGGAAACTGCAGGCTCTGCCCAGTGCTTTTCGATATCAAAGCAATCAAAGCTCATCTGTGGGCCCTGCTAGTGACTAAGGAGAAGGATATTTTAGACCCAGCCTTGATGAAATTCAATAAAATATCCGAAGACCTGAATTTTAAGAGAAATTAAGAGATGATCTGTTTTATCAATACATGAATTTGAAATACATGACAGAATCTTCACTGTTTTTACTAAGACCATGTATGATATTATTTTTTTAAAGCCAGAAATAGAAAAAGTACTATGTATATTCTATACTGTCCCAGAGTAAGCTATGACCAATGTAACTGCACCTGAAAAGTCAGGCGAGGTCAGTGAGTATATGACTCAGTCTGCCACCTGGCATAAGGTTGTCTGAGAAATCTCCTAATGGCCATGGGGATGATTTAAGTAATTAATCTAATGATCACATCAAAATTGTCTACTATTTTGTGTTTCGTATCTTATTAGGTGATGGAGGTCTTTCATGAGAGAATAGGCAACTGCCTCCACCGAGTTTAATCAGGAAATGAATTTTATAACAAAGCAGTAGAATCTGAGGACAACAGGATGCTAATCTAGGTTAGGTAACATGTTGTGATTTTCATAGTGACCAATGTTTCATAAAAATGCAGTTTTGGCTATTTGCAACCAAGGATGTCAAGGAGAATTTCAGCCAGCCGGTGTAGCTGATGAGATGTGCGCAGGAGACCCGGTGTCGGAGTGGGTTTCTACCTTCCAGTCAAACATCCCTCCTGTGGTGATGGGTAAAAGCTGGGCAGGAGTGATATTATTCTTTAAAGGGAACTGCCAGTGGGGCCTCAGTTCTTACAAATTTACCTAAAAACAGATTAAAAAAAAAAAAAAAGGAAAAAACAACATTAAAATGAGTCAGTGCAGAAGCTGGCATACTTACTACATCTAAATATTGGGACAAAGTTTAAAACATTCTGTAACAGAATATTTGATTTGTTTTAATTGGTTTTGAACCGTGTGTCATGTGCCATGGGAACTGTATAAGGAAAAAAAATTACTTAGTTTTGAAAGAGTTATTAGGCAATAAGAAAATAAGCACACCAATAAAATTAATGTGACAGCAATGTGAAGTGTTAAAAGGTAGCATATTAAAGGGACATCTTCCCTCTGGCTAAAGAAAAATCACAGGTTCAAGCTTGATTAAATGAAGCACGGCATCAGGGAGTCCAGATTAAAGTTACCCATGTTTTTAGTATCCATTTTGCTTGTTTCACGTGGGTAGCCCAGTAGTGAGTGTTAGGATCCATAGGAGTGGCACAGGGAAGCAAGGCTGCCTCACAAGGTCTGAACATAGTACTGACACCTACCCAGAAGGCATAATGTTTCCCTCAGAAGGAAGAAGTACGGTTGTGTAGACATTCACGGCTCATTTTTAGTTTGATGATTCCTAACTTAGATGATTTCTTAAAGGAGCGTGTTATAATATATTTCTCAAACATATTTCATTCTGACTCTTGTCTTTTCTTTACTAGATCCACGTCACAAGATTCCAGACATATTCATTGCAAGTGAGTTGTGCGAAATATGTTTGCTTAATGCGTATCAACATACTATTCTTGTCTTTCCCACCTAAAAGTTCAAAAATAATAGCTGGAACAGGGAGGGTGGCACAGGCCTGCAATCTCAGCTGCCTGGACCCTGAGGCAGGAGGATGCCAAGGTCAAGGTCTGGGTAGATGGCCTTAATGAAAGAAAACCTGTCTCAAAATATCAAACAAAGAGTGGGAGTTTGGAGAGTGTCTGAGATGTATATATGCCTGAGTTGGATCACCTGAATCGCAAGTAACATACACATGCATGCTCTCTCTCTCTCTCTCTCTCTCTCTCTCTCTCACACACACACACACACACACACACACACACACACAAACACACACACACACTCATACACACAGGCATAGGCACATGCAGGTACATACACACACGAGGGGAGGGGGAAAGAGATTCTAAAAGAATGTGCCCATCTTCCAAAACTTATAATCTAATACATACATAAAATTTTAAGCATTATGTTACTATGCTCATAAATATCTTATTATTTTTTTTTAGTACCAACAAAACAGCCTGAAGTAACAGGTAAGACAATATGAGGTTATAAATGTGCATTGGACAAACAAAAAACAAACAAAAAAACCGGTGTTGTCTTAACTAGAACAGGGCACATTACAAGATTTGTCTCTATTGGGTTGAAGTGTTTGACATCATAGACTTCAAGTTAGATTTTGCTGTCCTTGCTTTTGCCTTCTCAATCCCTGTGCCTTCCCTAATCATGACAACGTGTCAATTCCCTTTCAGAACAGAGTGTACAGAACAGGCTGTGTACGGGTGAACAGTTAGACAGAAGTAACACAGAATAGCTGTCCTAGTATGAAAACCAAAGCTATGGCTCTCAAATATTAGCGCATCACCACTGCCGCCACCAGGGCTAGACGCGATGACTTTGACACAGCTGCACTGCTGAAATGGCACACCGGTATTTTTCACTCTTACCTGAAATACCCCAGACTTCATATCTCAGCTCTCTCACGGAGCCCAGGGGCAGTACTGGGACTGAACTCGTGACAGGTGAGGATGAGCAAGCCACGCTGTGGGTGTAAACGTGAGAGCTGGCTGCCGTTCTTATGACTTAGCCAGACCACGTCCGGTGACTTATCTAGAAGTGGGCCTTCGTGCAGAAAGAACATTGTGGTTATTCAGCGGCCGTGCAGCTTAGAAAAACCACATTGTGTGACACTTGATATTTTTAAGTCTACCAATGGTCTCTGCTGAAACAGGATGGGTGAGCTAATGGTTCTGCAGGGTTTCTCCTGTATGTAAAACTACATAAAGACATTCATGAGATCCCTCTCCTGAAAAATAGAGATAGCATAAATCAGCCTTCGAAATATTTATGGACATAGGTTTTTAATGTCCCCAAAGCAATAATAATATTAATTAGTATTTTCTTGATATTTAAAATTCCCAGTGAACCTACTCACCCATCATGTTCTTTCCTGGGCAGTAAATAAGTGTGTATGGGATAACACGTGCCTCCCACTTGTAGACTGAGGAATATTGCTTCAGCCTGAGAAGTCGATCCCTTTCTGATTGCATTTGAAGTGGGATAATCAGTGGAGAATACACCTTCATAGCAAGGGCAGGGTAGAGGGAACTAAATAAGAATCTGTAGGCTTCTGAAGAGTAAGTCTTCCAGAGACCAACAAAAGCCACCGTGGTGATGCCGGTCCCTTCTGTGTTTCAGTCACCACTGGGCTTGTCCGTGCCACAACTGTCGCCCCACACAGTTCCAGAACAGGTGAGTGAATGCCGTGACATGAGTATTCCATGTGGCTCCCACCGGTGGATGCTGCCTCTGATTCACAGGAAGAGGACCACAGGGTGTTTGCTGTCATCCTTAAATCCTTGTCAATAATTTCTTTCCTGTTTTGTTCTCTCAGAGGCCACAACTTCCCTGCGTGTAAGTGGAACAGCAAAGAGTGAGGCATCCACAGGTGAGGAGCTTGTGCCTTCCCTCCTGATAACACCTTCAAATCTTCCAAAAACACACTCTTTAATAAGCTTAATTGATAAGAAAATGATGGAGAAAAAGCAAAATAAAAAGGCTGTATGGCCTCCTTTAATGCCACAAGCTTACATGAGCTTCTGCAAGCTCAGTGGTTCCCAACCTGTGGGTCATGACCTCTTTGGCAAACTTCTATATCCAAAAATATTTACATTTCTATTCATAACAGTAGCAAAATTACAGTTATGAAGTAGAGAGAAAAATAAATTTATGGCTGGGGTCACCACAACAAAAGGGACTATATCAAAGGGTTGCAGTATTAGGAAGGTTGAGAACCACCGTTCCAGGTGATCATGAATCTAAACTAATGACCACCCACATTCAAAGCAAATGGCGTTCTGGTTGACAGCTGTTGACAGCTGGTAGACTTGCTGTAGACATGAGTAAAGAGGTGGGCTGAGGAAAGGAATGACATTTTCTCTTTGGATCCCACCTGCAGGCTTGCCTTCACAGTCCATGACCACCATGGATTTGTAGCATTTAAGACTTGCAGGATGGAGAGCGCCACCTATTGGCCAGCATCTGCATATCAGGACCATAATTACTACATGCAATTTGCTTTTTCTTTTCTTTTTTTCTTTCTTTTTTTCTTCAAAAAGTACATACTAACATTGAACACTACAGTTTTCTTGTGGTTTTTATTATCTTCTGGTGACCAGATGCTAGAATGAGGACTTTTCCAGGAGAGAGATCCTTGAATGCTCTGCTGGCTAGTACAGCCTAAGGATGAAAACAGAACCACACAAGGGAGATGCTTGAAAAACGTTAGTGGGATGAAGTAACGTGTCATTTTGCAGCCTTCTCCTTATTTAAGAGTGAGCAGCAAGGTGGTTTCACCTGGAGGAGCTGCAGCTCAGAGAGTTTGAAACTGGGCAAGATAGATTAAATATCATTTTAGAGTTTCAGAGTCAAGAAATTCTGTTTTAAACGGATGAAATCAAAACACTTTAAGTAATTGACACATAGCATTCAGAACACTAATCTGTTTCTTCTTTATGAACCTCTGTCATGGCGGGCATCCTGCATAACCAGGTGAGGGAGAAATCTGCCTACTCACCTTCAATGCACTCTATGGAGAGGGAACCCCAGCAATTTATGGGAGAGAGAAAAACATGAGATGGTTCATTCCTTCGGAGGCAGTGGTTTATTCTAAAGGCACGTAGTAAGTGTAGGCTTGAGGGAATGATAAATTGGTTCACTCTTTCTGTGATTTCAGTCACCACGAGAGTAAGCCCCCGGTACAATGTAACTCCTGGGAGTTCTCACATTCACGAGTCATGAAAACAGTTGGGGAGATTTGTCTCTGAACTGTAGAGGTTGATGGCTTCCCTAGGGATAGCGTGTGAAGTCACAGGGCTGCACCCTTTGCAAACGTTCGTGGCCCAAGCGTTGTCCCATCTCTGTTCAGAGGCTACCACTTTTGCAGACGTTGGAATGCGCACTGCAGTTAGAGCTGCAGCTAGTGAGTCATTAGTGCTTTCAGTGTAGGTGGCTCTGCAGGGTCTGCAGGACGACAGGCTAGAGCAAAACGCATAGAAATGCTTCTTTTGACAAAACACACATGATCTTTTCTGCTGTGGCGCTTTTACAGTATTTGATAAAACATCAAGTGAACTGAGCTTGGTCCTTTTTCCTTCAGGCCTGTTGCTGCCACACAGTAGTTTCTTAGACATGACTTTACGGGGCTAAGAATGATGTGCTGTCTCATCTATCTTGCTGTTTAGCTATTACTTCAGGTTCAACTGCGGTTTCCAGAGACCTAGAGAATTCCAGTTCTGGTGAGTAGAGATGTTGAATTCACCATTATCTTTTTTTTTTCCTTCATGACTAAGGTCTCAAGAAATTAAAATCATTTCAATTTACTCTTTCAGGAGCCCCCACAGAAGCACCAGGCAACCAAAGCACAGGGGGGAAAACAGGTGAGCCCAGGAAAATCACTTCCACCGAAACAAAGCCATAGCAACAGGATGAGAGTTTGTAAGAAAACAGGGTTTATTTCTCCTTGGATAAAAAGGCTCCATTGCTGATGATAAAGAATGTGAATTTGTTCAAATCCATTCTGTTCTTCAGAGCGGTGGAAGTATTGCTATGGTTCCTCAGTCTTTAACCAAAGCACCAACACATGAATGTTGGCTATAGCACCCTTTAGAAATCTGTGTGACTTTGCTCCTAAGGAACTGAACCGAGAGTTTCTGGGAAGGAAGCAGGCCAGATTGGGGCGGGGGCAGTGAAACTTCCTTTTATGACACAAGTTGGAAGCCATTTGAGATAAAGGCTTTCGCCTGACTCTTCAGCCTGAGAGCTCTAGGTTGTTTTGAAACAGGGTCTCTTTATGTACCATAACCTGGTCTCAGACGTATAATCCTATCTCAGCCTTCCAAGTTCTGGGCTTCCAGGCTGTGCTGCAGTGCTTGACTCAGTCTGAAACTTTAGACAAGAAGGTCTTGGATGGTGCTGGTCCTGGAATCATCTATACTTACTTCCTTTTGCAGATTCCACTTCAGTAGCAGCTAGAGTGACAACCAGCCCCTACATATCCCAGCCAGGTAAATGGAAAGATCCGGTAGACGCAAATGAATCCTATGCGATTTCTCTCTTCCACTCTGGGTCCCCCTTGCACAAGAATCACTAAGGTATGAATCATACAGGCATGATATGAATTCTTATCATTGTGAGTAAAACACTGTGTTGTCATCCTCCTTGTCCTAGAAACCACCGCAAGAACAACAGAAAGTCACGACACTGAAAGCAAAACAGGTCAGTAAGAGAAGACCTTCAATCACTTCACGATCCATTGGCATTTTCTATATTTAAAATGTAATAGGCTCTCTTGCACACATAAAAAGCGAAACAGGGATTGCCACATTGTAACCATTTTATAACATGGGGACACAGGATAGTATAGGCACAGATACTATTGTTAATGTTTATTGTATTGATCATTCAAAAATATGTCCAAAAATTATAATTCCATAGTGGAGGAGAGTAGAGGGTTCCTTTCTGTTTTCTGATTGATAGCCATGAGTGAAGGCACCAGAATGAAGATGGTTGAGGTTGATACTGGCTAGGTGGTCAGCAAATTTCTCCCAAACATGGGTGAGTTCAGAAATCAGCCACATGCTGGCAAGGCAAGTGTGACGGTCAAGGAGGAAAAATTTGGAAGTACAGAAAAGTTTATGAAAGATTTTAGCTCCAAATTTAAATGTGACTCTATCCTTATGACAAATGGGATCCTTCTTAGTTTTATCAGGAGAATGACATGCTCGGAGGGCTTGAAGGAAGCGACTCTTACAACAGTGTGGAAATTAAATTAGATTATTATTCTGATATATATATTCATAATTTTTCTCTTCCATTGCTGGATTGTACTATTATTAAAAATTAGGAGCCATCCTAGATTGCCTTAAAGATTGAGAGACATTTAGTCTTTCAAATTTTCACATATTTTACTACTTTATTGTTAAATTTTGGTAATAATCATTTGTTGGAGTTGCTTTAAGTAAACATGGAGAAATTTTAAATTTCTTTTAAGAATGCCCATTCTAGGCTAGTTTGATGTTTTTTGTTTTTTTCTTTTGGTAGGATGAGACAGATAACAGTACAAATTTGTCTTTCGGCAACTTTGAATTAGAGTTTGTAATTCAAATTGTGAAAAATATGGCTGGCCAAGTACCTGTGAAGTATAGAAACTCAAAAGGATACATGTATATTATCTTCTTAGAGCTTTTTTTTTGAGGGGGGGGGAACAGAATTGAAGAATTTCAAGAAGTTTTAAAGAGAATAAATGTTCTTAAGATCAAAACTATGTTATTGTAATTATATTCCCAAGTAGTGTAATAGTCCCTGACTGTTTATTCACTGGCTTATTCATCAGAATTCTTCCCCAAGAAAAATTTCAAGGTTATTTTTTTAAATTTAAAAAAATTTTTAAAAATTTGATTAAATTTTGAGATCTAAAAGAAACTCACTACAATAGTGGAAAGTCAAATGCCATAAACAGCACAGGGGGGAATGCCTGGGTGTGTTGCCAATTATTTCATCATTATAGGAATGAATCAGGTAAATGTATTCTCTCCAGCACCACGCCATCATTCCAAACACTTCCAGGGCTGATGGTTTTTTTTGTTTTGTTTTGTTTTGTCTTGACAGTGTGTCCAAGCACCCTTCCACCAACCCCAGGTGAGTGCCCCCCACGGCAGAGTAACCCTTGTACTCCAAGTATCTGAGGTCCCTCCAGTACATGACTGCTCCCAGAATGTTTTGGAATAAACTCAGTGCACGAATCTGGCTTTTACTTGCCCAACAGTGTATAATAGTTATTTCCTCATCCACAAACAAATGCAGCCAAACAATACAGGCCCGCTCACCTGCCAGCGCTTTCACAAAATTATGTATCTTGATAAAAGGTAGTCAATGGAACAGCTCTCACAACAGGAAGCCACTTAACAAATACACAATACAACATTTGGGGATTTGTTCTCATCGAAAATTGCAGGTGTGTCTCAGTTTAATAGTTTCTGGGAAATTTATTGAAGGCCCACTGCTTTTAAGATAATGTAATGTAGTTTGCAGGGTGTAATTGGGAAAGAAACTAGTTTTGACCTCATGTAGTGGGAAAGGGAAATTTTAAAAAACACAGCTTTCATGTAAGGCAGACAAAGTTCACAATAAGAAGTAAATATGCATTCTGTGTAGAATGCAAGTTGTGGGATTGGAATTTGACAGTCATAAGTAGACTATTCTAGATCCAAGGTGAAGGGAGTGTCATTAATATGGGAGACCTCAGAAACCAGAGTATTTGTTTTAAAAGACTAACATTTAAAATAAAAACAATTAGGTAATTTGGGATCAGGAAAATTACCATAGTTGTGGTGAAGAGAATGGATTAGACCAGAAAGGAATCTCAGCAATTGAGCTGCTAGATTGATGATGATGATGGGGTGGATTTGAAAGGAAAGGTTTAAAGTAAGGGTGACAGAAAGGGACTTATAGGAAGTTTAGATGACAAACGGTGACTAGTGAGCACCTAAATCTGATGTGCTTTAATAACTGAAAGAGCATTTTAATCTAGAAGAGAAATCTGTGCCTGGGGCAAGAAGACATAATTCTGTCTTGTGCATTTACACTAGAGGTTTCTACAGCTCTGCTGGGGTAGTGTATATTCAAAGAGCTACAGTAGCGTCCATGGCTCATGGTCCATATTGTACATCACAGACGAAAGGTCCTATTGAAGATACTAGAGACAAAATGAGAGGAGGAGGTGTGGCAGGGTTTTCTGGCTGTTAAATTTAAAGAAAGAACATTTTATTTTCTTAACTATGAAAGTTAATGTCACCTGTGACAGGGAATTCACATGACTGATTAAGGGACTTTGGATCTTTGAATTTGCCAGCGATAATGTCTTGGTACCGACTGGTTTGTAGAGATCGAAAACAGTCTTACATGACAGCGAGCTGGATAGTGTACACACACACACACACACACATACACACATACAAACACACTCATGCACATGTGCACATATACATGCAGGCACACAAACATGCACAGACACGTATACAAAACGCTTTGCCAGAAGCAGGTGGGGGTGGCTTATCCACCTTCAGACATTGGCCTTGGAACTCTTGACATCAGTTACAGTATGGGCCCCCTCCTGGTTGTGTATAAACAGCAAGTGGTTGTAAACTACAAGATTTGATTAGCATGTATCACTTTGTGTTAACAGTGTGCCGCGGTCCACTGGGAGAAGAGAAATCTGTAAGCATACAGCTCTGTTCCACTTGAATGCAAACTTTTCTTTCTACCACCTTGTGAAAAAAAAAAAAGTCTAAGCATAGTTTGTATCTGCAGCCTGGAGACATATGGACATCTAATTGCCATCAATGTACGTGTACTGAAGCTCAGGCCGTAGACTGCAAATGGAAAGAGTGTCCTTCTCCGCCCACATGCAAAACTGGAGAGAAGCTGATGACATTCAAATCGAATGATTCTTGCTGTGAAATTGGCCACTGTGGTATGTGTCTGTAATCCATTATAATGAACTAAATCTGTACATTGTTTGCCCTATTATACATCAAGGGATAATTCTGAGCTACTGTGTCACACATGACATTAGGATCTGATAAATAAAACAGAATTAATATTCCTTAAAACTTATTGCTCTAATAAAAACAAAATGCAATTAAGAGATATTAACAGCACCATTAGGATAAAAGGCAATGATAATATTTTAAAGAAAGCAAAATTGGTCGATAAGTATCTCATCTAAAATTTCTCCTTCATAAATAGTAAGGAAGTATATAACATTTATTTTTCAGAACCAAGAACATGTTTATTTAACAATACTGAGTATGAGGTAAGTCTTTTCATCTATTTTATTTATATAATCATATGAATAAATGCAATGCTAAGCCACACCAAGGGGCTTCCAGTGTATAATATTTTTTTAAAAAATGGTTTTAAAAATACTTTGGTAAAGTTCAAGGATAAGTTTTTCTTTGTCTACACTATTTACATAAAATGCAGCGCTTGCCATGCTTCTTCCAAAGGAAGCGGCACTCGTGTTCATTAACCAGCCAGCAGTCGAGCTGCAAACAGCATCTCCCCAGGGTCCTACCAGATGGAGAAGACATCCTGTGCAACATTCAAATTGATGAACAGAGAGAGCTCAACTGTAATTACAACCAGAAAGATCAGATGGCCAAACTGCCAGAGATCAAACAAGAAACCTCAAGGGCTCCACCCGACACGAAGGGGCTTAGGCTCTACAGGGCTGGGGCTGGGCGGCTGCATTCACAGTTAGGGCAGGACCTAACCTTCCAGAAAAGGCTTCATGAAGCCATGGATGTTCATGGGTATGAACACTCTCAGCTGGTGTTGCTAGATGCTTACAACTCAGACTAAAATAGACGAGACTGAGAAACACAGCACAGGATGGGTGTTTTACTCTCACAAGTCATTTGCCTCACTCAAACCTCAGTCTGCTTCTTTGAAACTTTCCATTTCCAAAATTGGTACGACTCTAGAAACCACAAAAGGTAATGGGTAAAGACAGAAAGGGAAATTCCAATAATTGACACGAATAGAGGTTTAAATAGTAAAATTTCACTTTATTAGGGAATTTATCTTATTGCCTAAGGACCTAAATTAGAGATTCTCAATCTGTGGGTCATGACCTCCTAGGGGTCAAATGACCTTCTCACAGGGGTCATATATCACATATCTTGCATATCACGTATTTACATTACACCTCATAACAGGAGCAAAATTACAGTTATCAGGTATAAATGAAAATTATTTTATGGTTTGTATGAAAGGGTCGCACATAAGGAAGGTTGAAAACCAGTGGTCTAAATTAAACACTGTTTCTCAGACTTTGCTTTGAATGTCAGACAGAAATTAATTACAAAACAGTCCTGTTGTGGGTGTTAATATTTACTATTGATATCTTTTAGTTAAGCAGCGATTAGTCCTAAACAAGCTGTATACCCAAATTACCACATAGAGACTGGGATTTATTTAATTAACTGAGAGCACAATGCTGGGCAATAGTTACTCCATCCTAAACCTCCAAGCCCTCATTGTTTCCTACCGTTCAGATTTCACCCATTATACTTGCTTTTAGTCATACCTTAGGTCTGGTCCATCTCTCCACGTGGTTCCAAGACCTCTCCTGCTGATTTTCTGCTCTTCTCCTCCTCCCACTTGCTTCCTTCTCCTCCCCTCTCCAGACCAGGATGTCCCACCTTATCCTCTCCATTGCTCAGCATTGGGACTATTTGTTTAATTGACAATATAGAGAACAAATGGTGGCATATTTACACAAACTTGAGACAGGTGATGCTTAAAATAAGCATCACAATGCAATGTCCAGATTGAAACTAGATAGTGGGGTTGAGAAATCAGCATCTGAATGAACAAGGGTAAATTGTATACATTCCAAAAGAATATTATACCAACATAGTCCAAAGAGCTTTAACAAATATAGACGTAAGGAATCTTGGGAGGATTAACATTACCACTACTTTAAAGATTTATTCATTTTTATTTGTGAGTGTAAGTGTTTTGTCTGTGTCGATGCATGTGTACCACATGAGTTCTTGGGCTCTCAGAGGGCAGAAGAAGGTACTGGATTCCCTGGAACTGAGGTGTAGATGGTGAGGCTCCATGCAGGCACTGGGAACCAAACCCTGGTCCTCTGAAAGAGCAGCAAGTACTCTTCACCACTGAGCCACCTTGGCAGCCTTCTTCATCTTCATTTAAGTTTTTTCCTATTATAAGGGTGTGAGCAAGTACCATGGCACTTGTGTGAAGGCCAAGGGTATCTTTTAAGCATTAATTCCCTCTTCCTACAGTGGATTCCCAGGGTCCAATTCAAGTTCTCCATCCATCTTGCAGCAAGGACTTTTACCTACTAACACATCTTGTGGACTCATGAGACTTAATTCAATAAACTTCTTTGTGTCCTTTTCTCCACTGAAGATATCCTTGAAGCATAGAGCACAACAGTTGTTGAACTTCTTGCATACAATAAAACATTCTTTTTTGAAGACTGTTCTTAGACATATAACACAGTGGCTGCCATAAGTTTTATTTTGAAGCCTGAGAATCTTGATGCATTCTGTGCTCCCAGTGGAGAATTTTGATTTATTCACTCAAGTTGAAGATATGCAAACCACCTTTCCCTAACTGTTTACTTGACCATTGAAAGTGCTGCTTCACAGATAATAAAATCAGAAATTTAATTTCTCTTTTTATGCCAGTTTTTAACGGGTAGGTTAAATTATACCCCAAGGCAAATAACCCTCTTCTCCCCTCACTTACCTTGCAGATTGGGTCATCGTTTGACGACCCTAGCAATCCGTGTGTCACCTACACCTGCAACAGCACTGGCTTGGCGGCTGTGGTTCAGGACTGCCCGAAGCAAACCTGGTGCGCAGAGGTAAGTCATGTTCTTAACAAAGGCAAGCCGGGACCCTCTCACGCTCAGCCCAGATCCTTCTCATCTTCCTGCTCCTTTGGAAAAGGCTGGCCTTTGGCCAAGGGACATAGATTGGTTGTTAGTTTCATGGATATTTATGCAAATTCATGTATCAAGAGGCACGTGATTCCAGAAATGTCAGCTTTTGTTGAGCATATTCTTCATACCAAGAAAGGCTTTTATTTTTCCAGGTCCATACAGCTCAATTTAATGCTATTCTAAAAGTCGGTTATATACAAAAAACTTAGCTTTTTAATATTTATGTTTTTAACCTAGGTGTATGAATGTTTTACCTACATGTATGTATGTATACCATGTACAAGAGGTCAGAAGAGGGTGTTAGGTTCCGTGAAAATGGAATGTGGAGGATAAATTGTAAAGCCACCACATGGCTTCAGGGAAGTGAATCTGGGTCTTCTGCAAGAACAAAAAATTCTCTATCTCTTCCTCTCTGTCTGTCTTTGACCTTATTCTGTTCCTCTCTTTGTGTAAATTTGACTGTAGATATGTAACAATAAAAATTAAAGAAGAGAGATTATAAATTCAAAAAGGAATGGGGGGCATTAGAAGTATTTGATTATGTAATTAGATTTTAAATAAATTAAAAATTTTTTGAGTACAAAATAAAACAAGTACTACTACTTCTAATAATAATAATAATAATAATGCAACAAGTACTCTGACCTATTGAGCCAAATATCCTTTTACTATTTTATAAACAAAACTAAAAATCTTTTAAAATAAAAGCTCATGGAAGATTAATTACTTTCTATAAAAAGTTAAATTCTCTAAGATCAGTATTATATATCTTTGTGCCACAATCGTCATTTCTCTGCCTCTATATTTTAGTTTCCATTATCATGATGAATACCAAGATCAGAAGCAACTTGGAGAGGAAAGGGTTTATTCACTCCATCACTAGGGATGTCAGAACAGGAACTCAAGGCAAGAATCTGGAGGCAGGAACTGATGCAGAGACCATGAAAGGGTGATCCTTAATAGCTTGCTTCCCATGGCCTCCTCAGGCTGCTTTCTTTTCTTTTTTTCTTTCTTTCTTTTTATTGTCTATATCTATCTCTCTATCATTTTATATCCTGATAGTAGCCCCTCCCTCATCTTTTCCAATTCCCAAACTCCCTCCTTTCCTCTTCACCTATTCCCCTTCCCTACTCCTCCAAAAAGGGGAGTCATACCCCACCACCAACACATCAAGTCCCATCAGGACTGAGCACATCTTGTTCACCGGTGACCTGGAAAGGCAGCACCTTGAGGGGGAAAGGCCCAGGAGGGGCTAGCAGAGACTGAAGCTCCAACCAAGGACCATGTATAAACTAGACGTAGGCCCCTTACACAGCTGCCTATGGGAAGCTCTGTCTTTTGTTTTGTTTATTTTTTAATTTATTCACTTTTTTAATTTATTCACTGGTAGTAGTAATGTCTCATCCTGGTCCTACCCTTCTTCCTTCTTCCTCTCCTATCTGCCTGCCCTAATCCTCAGAAAGGGGCCTTCCTCTTCTGCCAACTAACCCCAGCCTATAAGTCTTCTCAGGACTGGCTGCAGCCTCTGCAACCACCCAGAGAGGCAGTGCCTACCGTGAGGTGGGCCTACCTTTATTCACCATTAATCAAGAAAAATGCCCACAACCTTTCCTACAGGCGAACCTAGTTGGGACAGTTTTAAAATGAGGCTCACTCCTCTCAAATGTTTCTAGCTTGTGCTAACACACTCAATATGTTGTTTTTAATATTAGTTAATGCTTAGTATTAAATTATCACTTTTCTTTCTGAATCTGTAATTTATAACATAATTTAAAGCATTGTTTTAGAAGTCTACTAGTGTATTTCAATAGTTTACTTGGATTTCAACTAAAGAGTTAGGAAGGTTTGATTTTGAAAAAAAAAAAGCTTAAGTGTGGATCTTTAGTAAAAGAGGCTGGTGGTATCTGTGCCGTGTGAAAGAATTTTTCCTTTGAATAATATGAAGCATAATTTATTTTCTTTCATATTTGCATATTCTTTTCCCTTTTTGCCCTGCCATTGTAAAAATCTTAGTCTTAAACATTCACTCTAGTGTTTATTACCAAGTTCAACTTCTTCCCTTCTTGCCTAGGCCTAGAGGTGATGACAGCAAGTTCATCTCTTTTGATTTCCCTTTCCTATTGCTGCTTTAGTATATTAAGAAATGTCACATTTCATTCACTATCAAATATTTCAATTTTTTTGTCCCTACAGAGAGAGAGAACATATGATTCAAAGAAATGTTGCTATACATGTAAGTTAACTTCTATACACGGAGAAATATCTAAGTGGTAGAAAAAGTAGTATTTCTTTAAGACAGAATAACAATTAGAGGAAAATTTATCAGTTGTGTTAAAACGCAGAAATCTGGGTTGTAGTATAGCTTGCCAACTGATATGTTTGCAAAAGGTGTTATAGTTCTTTATTGATAGTAGTAGCTTTTCTTGTAAAAATAAGCGATTATGTTTACAATTTTATTCCTTTATTTTAAAAAAATGACTACTTTTCTATCCTAACAGCAGCAGTCTGTGCTGAAAATCTGGATGTTAGAACACAAGGTTATGTAATTGGCAATAAGAACAGGCTTTCAGCAATGTCCCATCACCTCTCTGCTCTGACTGTCCCCCTCCTCTTTCTTCTTATCACTTCCCCCTTCACCTGTCATGTAATCATAGCAACAATCAGACAATACCTATTCAAGTATTATCCAGGTGCCTTTTGGAGTGGAGGCTGAGACAGTCATCTCCCTTAATAACATGGCGAAGTAGCTAACACACTTTTTCCCTTTGGTTGAGATGATGTACGTTAGTAAGTGTTAAAGGTTAGATCTCACTTCTTCCTCTGTCATACACCTGGCTTTAGGTAAAAGTGACTGCAGAACCGCTCCCGTGAAGGTAACCATTAAATACAACGGTTGTAGGAAAAAGGTTCAGATGGCAAGATGTGTGGGAGAATGCAAAAGGACCGTCAAGTGAGTTTCCCTTTCATGTGTTCCTTGCGTTAACTAGCTTGCTGCTTATAGAGGAAATCAGGCTACATCACTTAGGGGAGTCTGACATGAAAGAACTACCAGATTAAGGACACAATTAAAAATATATAGAACACTGAAACCCAAGAACTAAAAGTCATTACCTTAACAATTAGTTTTTCTGAGGTCCTTTTCTAGAGATGCTTAATATATTCATGGTAAATGCATTCATTTTCCTGCTGTGACTGTAAAAAGGTACTTATTTAAAGAAGTAAATTGCTCAAATCATAAAGTTGACTCTTAGAATGGCATTATATGTTTTCCTGAACATACAATCTTACACATAGATTAACTTAGTGAGAAAATTTGTAAATGTGATATTGTTTTAAACAGACTTTTTAATATTTTTGTACAATAATGTTTCCAATATGCAGTTACAACTCTTTTCTTTTAATCTCATTTTTGTCTCAAATGCCAGTTGTCACTGATCTACATCAGAATTTTGTAGTTGGGAGGGACACAAGGTCTAGAAAAGGAACGCATTAAGGAAGACTATTCAGTCATTTAGGAAGGTCATTAGAATGTAAGCATTGCTGTCAAGATGTGCAGTGTTTGCAGATATTCTGAAATATTTATTCACTAATTCCTTTCTTTTAGGTACAATTATAATACCCATCAATTGGAGAATTCATGTTTCTCCTGCCGTGAAGACAACTATGAGTTAAGAGACATCGACCTGGATTGTTCTGATGGTAGCACCATCCCTTACCAATACAGGCACACAACAACTTGCTCTTGTCTGGACCAGTGCGCACAGTCTACAGCTAGTTAGTACCTGCATTGCCCTTCCAGTTGCACTCAGTTATAAAAGGAAAGAAAAGCAATCGTTAAATAATGAGAATGGACAAATATGAATATGTCTTATTCAGGAAGTGAGGCTAACAGTGAGGCAATATTGTTATTTTGTTGTTAACAGTGCCTGGAGAATAAACGCAGTGTTGCAAAGACTTGGTGAAGATGTGGGTTTCTTTACACAGTATGAATTCTGCACAAGCCAGTCACAGCTCTCAGTGTCTTCAAGCCAGTAATCCTCTCACTACTTAATGAGAATGTACTCTCCATTCCTTTTCATTTCCCTGTCCCAGCTGCACCATTACTTTCACTGGGCCGTATCACCCTCTCCTGGGACACCTTGACTTCCTCACAGTTCTCAAGAGTTTTATTTATGCTCTTGTTTCCCTGTGCATTTTTCTAGCTATTCCTACAACGTTTTAAATCTATAAACTACCCTTTGTGAGTAGCTTCATTTTATGGACTCGAACCTTTATACTTGCATCATGTTCCTCCTTTCATTTTATTCAGGTGTTTTGATACATTATACTGACATAGGCACACACACCAAGGGATTTCTATCTTATTCCAAATACATTGACACCATTGTGTTTTAGAGGTTACGGCCCATTATTTCTAAATGACTGATGTTAAACTATAGGAAACCTGAAATAACAAGCTCAAGAGATATGAAAGTTTATCCCTCCCTCAGACAAAAGGGTGTATAGGTGTGAATATGCCTCGCCTCCTCCCTCTTTCTTTCTTGTTCTATCATTTTCAATAGGCATCTTTCATCTTCTACCTTCATGGCCCACAATGATCCCCTGTATTTCCTACTATCTCAGTCTTAATCCAGTAAACAAGACAGAGGAATAGGGGATGGGGAGTGATTATTGGTTTGGGCTTTTAGAGCAAGCCCCAGAAGCTGTAAGTGTTCTTCCCTGAACATACGAAAATACAAAGTCAAGGCTGACTGTGGAATCATAAATGATGACTGTAGCGATAAACTTAAAAGGTGTGGCCTAATAAATGTTTGTTTTTAGGCTGTAATTATTATGGTGCTATGATCCAACCCACTATCAATCAAGTAAAGACACAGACACCTGTTGGGTTTTATAAAATGACCTTTACCTGGAGCATTACAGATATTAACCTTCTAAATTAACTTTACCTTCCAGCCCCAATCTCGAGCTATCTCCCAACCATGATCCCAAAATACTTAGTAATATTCTCCATCTCCTCCATCCACACTGATCCAGCCTTGTGCTCCCCATGCTAACCCATGGCACTGGTCCGGTTTCCTTCTCCTCCAATCCTGTCTTCTCCCTCTCCTCATGGTCCCTTGACCCCCATTTGTGGCACCCCAAACTCTGCCTCCCTTTCTTCTGCCAAATCCCAAGCTTGAGAATTTTCTATTAACCAATCAACATTAAGTTAGGTGGAGCAGGGTTTATACAACAAGGACAGGTGTACATAAGAATGTGCTCCTCTGAGCAAGGTCGAGATCTTGGTGGTCAGTAATTAACATTAAAATATATAGCACTGGGTCAACCTCCAACAATTGTGTAACAATTAGTACTTTTGTAAAACTATGTCATTAGGAACTCCCCACCCCCTACAAAATTCAGTTCAATAGATGAGAAATCATCTAGTCAAATTAATAAATGCAAGCAAGTTCTAGGAGCTAGCTAATATAATTGCAACCTGAGTCACTATTAAGTTTCAATCACTATTATAATGCTGTGGTGTATTCCTATATATTCTTCCCCAAATAACGTACTTACTTCATACATATTGAGACTACACCAGAAGATAATTTTCAGCTGTTATCCTTTTTTTGCAATTGCCTCATTGCTGGGTTCAACCTTCTTGGGAGAAGCATAGCACCCAGTGATTGATGGGAGTCAGTGAAAAGGGTCACTTCTCTAACTACAGCCAGAGACCTTGACCTCCCTCCAGTCCTGGCAGCTGCATGCACTAAGAAATCACAGTGCCTTGATTTCTTCCTCCACTCAATTTTGCTCCCTTCTTGCATGAGTCTGGTTTCCACAAATATTCTGAATAAAGTTGGTGCATTAAAATGTCCACTTCACAGTCTCCGCTATGGTCGCTTGCTCTGGGTAGTGTATACATCATTCTCAGAACTCTTCAAATGGCTGTGCTATTGACGTATGAAGGATGATTGTGGAAGGATGCAGTCGTTAGCCCACTTATGTCTTTGCTAGTCTTTGATAATTGAAATGAGCTATATGAGGAACCCTCCTCTACTATAGTATCTTATCATCTTTCCCTGGCTTCTCTTAAAATGTATATAGCCTTATGGATGTCAAGCACATTGTTTTAATGTTCTAAAATCACAAGATCATGAAAGAAGCAAATTATTAAAACTCAAAATATAGAGTTATGATTTGAGTATGAAACCTTCAGAACTATTTTTGTCTATTCTAATGCATTTCTCTCTATCTTTAAGCACCCCAACATTATTAAACCCCCATTATCCACACCCATGCACTTACAAGTACTGTATACATTTATAGTTATGTTACTTCTAATGCCCATTAATTTTCTAAGCTATGTTTTTTTCCTAAAAGCAAATTTGAATCTATGTTTAATAGCTTTATTCTCAACATCTAGAAGAGGATGGCCCCAGCCTATTGTAGACAAAAAAACAAAAACAAAAACAAAAAAACCCAATCTTTGTTGAAAATTGAATGGTGAAACCTAACAATGACAACCAGCCAATGAATTCAACAACTTATACTATTTCCTTAAACAATGACATATGTACCTGTGGGTTCCTATTAAGGATTAGAATTAACAACAACAGACACGTTTATCAAAACCTCTGCCCATAGAAACAATAATGTTGGAAACTTACGTATATCCTGACTGTCTCTTACGTGCAAAATTATATCCTTGGAAGAAATGAAAGATAAATGAAATTATATTGGACATGGTAGCTGAGAAAAGTGTCTCAACAGTCAGTATCACACAACGACGGCCATCTAGACAGCCATTCATGCAGAAGCTGCATCAAGAGAGCTAAGAAATTCGGTAAAAGACCATAAGTAAAAAAAAAAAAGAGACAATGCGTTCAATAAAGCAGGAAATAAAGGGTTACATGCACCACTTCTCCCCCAACCCCCCAGAAGCAAGCAGCCTGGAGAAAAAAAATGTCTTCATTTAGGAGGAGAAGAGGTATTAAATTGTATTAATGACGTTCCTATTACTGTGTAAAAGCCTATTTATAGGAGGAAGGCTTTCTTTGGAGCTAACAGTTCTAGAGAGATATCACTTTTCCTATCTTGGCAGAGAAGCATGGAGGCAGGTGTCCACGACATCTGGAGAAGGCAGCTGATAACTCACAACTTAAACTGCGTTCAGCAAGCAAAGGACAAATAGAACAGCATGTGGCTTTAAAATCTCAAAGCCCACCCACAGTGACATACTTCCTCCAACAAGGCTCGGTCAGTCCTCCACATAAATAAAGCCCCAAGGCTTAAAACCCAACACCTGGCCTGCCTTGCTGAAATCTGCTGCCTGAAAGAGGCCCTAATCCATGATTCTAAGCTGTTTCCCAGGGACTGAGACGCTGGAGCAGTGCTAGCTAGGTGACCAAGGGGCTTCCCTACCAAAATTCTTCCAACATCAGGCAGAGAGCAGAGCAAGACTGCAGCTAAAAAGAGCAGTGCATAGAAGCTATTGCAGGGCAGACTTTGCCTTGGAACTCAGGATTGGTCTCATGCAGTGAGATCCAGCACCTCTAGTCCTTGAAGATGAATAGTCTGCACCTGCCAGAGCATTGGGAGATGCTTCCCATCTTCCATCCTGAGCTCTCCATTGCATCACTGCCTCACTGGAGTAGGCCAGGGGTACTCTGCCAGTGTGTAGATGGACCCTTTGGCTAAGGAAGAGCCCAGCTTAACGACAGCCTTAGTGCCTAAGGGATTGTCTCTATCACTCCAATTTGAACAGCGCTGTTATCTGCATTAAAGGGCTCAGAGATGAACCTTCTTTTCCTGCCCCATCACTCTATATCCTGGTGGATAAACTTGGTTTTAGTCTGCATTATTGACAGCTGTGTAACAAGCCTATGTCCATTCCTGAGACTACGTAGATCCTATGGCTATGAGACACAGGCGTGATACCAGCAACAGACTTGGTAGTGATTATCTTCAGCAATATTACCTAAATTTCAGGCAGCATAACATGGAGCAAAACAGCATGTAAGGAGGATAGGATGGAAGAGCAAGCATAGGGCTTTGTTTCAGAACTCATAAGACAAGTAAAAAGTAACACAGATGATATCCTAATAGCTCCCATTCCCAGGCTTACCCAGCAATACATCCTCTGGATTTCAGGTAAAGAACTATGACCTCAGTCTATCAGATCTACATTCTGGTTCACCATCATCTAGCTGGTTTCAAGAGTCTTAGCCTATGCATTCCCAACTCCATAGGCAGGGAAGAGTAGTGTGAGCTTGGGACCTGCCAAGTGCAGTACTGTTCTTGGTGGGCTATGAACCCAAAGTGTGCATGATGCTTAAGCTCAACAGTCAACTTGATGAGGTCTAGAATCACTTGGCAGATGGAGCCTTTTCTGTATGTCTGTGGAGAATTAGATTGACTATACTAGTTGAAGGAGAAAGACCCAGTCATTACATGTAGCAGCATTCTCTGGACTAGGATCTCAGACTATATATAAAAGACAAAGTGGACTGAGCACAAACATTCATCACTCTCTGTGATCTATTGTCATAGTTGGGGTTTCTATTGTTACTATGAAACACCATGACCAAAATCATATTGGAAAGGAAAGGATTTATTTGGCATATACTTCTACTCTGTAGTAAGAAGTCAGGGTAGAAACTCAGACTTGGCAGGAACCTGGAGGCAGGAGCTGGTGCAGAGGCCATGGGGGGCTGCTGCCTACTGGCTTGCTCCCCATGGCTTGCTCAGCCTGTTTTCTTAGAGAACCCAGGACTACCAGCTTATGGATAAC